CAGGGGTGGGGTGGGTCAGCATTCTCATCTCACTGTGAGATCTCAAAATCTCGTCCTGTCGCTGATCTTCCCCTTAAAGCCCCCGGATATAATGAAATCGAAAAAATATAACTGATTGCTTCTTAGCAGTTCATTGCTGAGGGCCAGTCCATCCTATAGGCAACACAGAGGCCCGCCTAGGGCACCAGATTCTGTGGAGGAGGGCTGCGGGGTCCCTGCCAGCCCGCGTCAGGCTAGAGGTGGCAGCATGGATGTGGTCTTCGAGGAAATAGGCATTATCCGCAGGCTACCACCCAGCATCGTGTAGCTCTTGGAGCTTGTTGGTGGAAGGGGAATGCCTTTCTCAGGGGTACACAGGCACATCCCCCATCCCAATAATCCATTGCACTGCTCCGCCAAGAGATGGCGCTGCTCCTGCTGTCGCAGGAGTTATTCTGAGCTATAGCTGGGGGGCAGGGCCTCTCTAAGTGTACCCTCATTTCCCCAACGCGTCAGCCCCCCCCCCCCAGGGGCAGCATTTTGGCTGATTGCTCCAGAAACTATTGCAGCATTCCAGCTTGTGGTGGATGTGCGGAATTGAGATGGATGTGAGCAGTTGGAGAGGAAGGCTTGGCTCGAGTCTCACCTTACGGAGTGCCCCAGGAGCCGTATGCGTCCCGCTCTCTGAAGCCTTTCCGGGGCTGGCGTTGGCCCCGCACAGGGTGATGGGGAGGGCTCATTAGCGCTGACGCTAAGTGCAGTCCCTACGAGCGGGGCATGCTGTTGTTACACACAGCACCGCACGGCTGCTTCCTGCTATGAGCTGTGTTTAGCCTGATGCCGCTGAGTCCTGTAAGGCAACGAACCAAGATCAAAGACCATCAAGCACGCAAAGCCCCAGAGCACAGGCATCTAGCAGCACTATACAGTCGAAGTGTGTGGAACCAGGAAGTCCTGGATGCTGGGGAGCTGTGCTGAGCCGACCTGTGCTGTGCTGAGCCAATCCGTGCTATGCTGAGCCGATCTGTGCTGAGCCGATCTGTGCTGTGCTGAGCCAATCCGTGCTGTGCTGAGCCGATCTGTGCTGTGGTGATCTGATCTGTGCTGTGCTGTGCTAAGCCAAGGTGAAACAGGGCCAGTGTTTCCGCAGCAGAACTGACAGGAATCGTGTCTGAATGAACCTGACAGTCACCACCAGACACACACAGCTTGTGAGGTGAAGCACAGTCTCCCCAGAGTCTCACAGAGACCATAATTTTGACAGGCCTGTGGGGGTTCAGCACGTCAAGTCTCCCCCACCCCCCCAACATTCCCTTAAGTGTATTTCTTATTTCGTTGATGGCCTTACGGTGGCATAGAGGAGGTAGAGGGCCCAAAGAGCAGGTTCCTGGGAGGAGGTGGGGGGTCTGGGTGAGAGATAGGTGGGTTGCAGGCACCTGGGTGAGGGGCTGCCTGGCATTAATCAGCTGGGACACTTACTGGGCATCACTCTGAAAGAAGCAGCAGCACTCTGGGGTTGCCAGGAAAGCCATAAAACAGCCGTGAAAAGTCAGGGGGCAGCCGGGGCCCCTCGCAGGGAGAGCCGCTGTCATGTGACCCTCGGCGTCGACCCGGCCCCCACCCCCCTCAGCAGTCTCCGGCAGTTGCAGTGCCGCGTTAGCGATGCCACATCACGGGTTTGGCTCTGGGACTACCGGCAATGCCGTTCCAACCTCTGGCCAGTGAGCTCGCATGTCACATCACCTGGCGGAAGTAACATGACCAGTTATTGGTTTTCCGTTTGGGCTGCGATATTTTTAGAGACCAGCTGCGGTGAAAGAATGCGAATTACCTGCCTATACTCACTCGACTGCGCGGCAGACGGGCGCTGTTTACGCTGCGATGGCATGCTGCCTGGAATCCCTCACGGCCTGTGTGTGATTAGCAAATATTTCACCATGTTTATAAGCAGAAACATTTTTTAATGCTTAATTTGATTATGAGGCCACCGTGTAATAGATATTTACTGGCAGTCAGGTTATTAATATCACAGATGAGAGGGAGCAAAAATGAGTAAAAATAATAATTACTTGATAAATCTATAGAAGCTAAAGAAGCTTTGAAGCGGTAAAAGTTACTTTTGTGTCTCGTAAGGTGAAAAGAGAAATTTCTTGAACCATGGATGGGCGTGTATGTCCCCATGTGGATCAGCCTGACATCCGGGAAGGTGTTCGCTCTGAAGGGGGGGGGGGTTGCTTAGGCTCACCCACTTACCCACCCCATCCCAGGCAGCAATATGCAGTGATGGGGGGGGACTGGCCAAGCGGCGCACCCTGGACCTGGCATCGCTCTTGGCTGGGTTCTCCTGGCCTCTTCTGACCTGGACCAGCATGCCCCCATATGGCTGCTAGACACTCAACTCATCTTTCGATCTCCCTCTGCGCTTTACACAAATACTGGCTTTCTTAGCCATGTTCTATATGACCTTTCTGGGCGTGGCCATGCTGTGTATGACCTTTCTGGGCGTGGCCATGTTCTATATGACCTTTCTGGGCGTGGCCATGCTGTGTATGACCTTTCTGGACGTGGCCATGCTGTGTATGACCTTTCTGGACGTGGCCATGCTGTGTATGACCTTTCTGGGCGTGGCCATGCTGCGTATGACCTTTCTGGGTGTGGCCTTGCTGCCTATGACCTTTCTGGGCGTGGCCATGCTGCGTATGACCTTTCTGGGTGTGGCCTTGCTGCCTATGACCTTTCTGGGCGTGGCCATGCTGCGTATGACCTTTCTGGGCATTTTGTTGCTGTGTATGAC